AACAGTTCAGATGTTCCTCTCCAAAGCCACAGACTCTAGCTCATTCTGGGGGTCCCCCAAATGTTCTCTAGGAAACTAGGAGATATATTCTCACCAATGTGTCCTGAGTCTGCCCAGAGGGGGGTCTACTCAGCACACCATGCCGAGAGCAGCTTCTGGCAGCCAACCAGGTGACATCCATATGACATGCATAAACCACCTCAGATGATTTCTCTCAATACACAGGATCTCTGTTTTGGGATTCCTCATTCACGCCCAAAAATTCTGCATCCTGTCACAAAGACTTAACCCAGCAACCCTATGGAGAAACCTCAATTTGACTACTTGCAGTTCTTCTTTCAATCATTTGCTACAGCTCATGACCACAGGTAACGGATCGACTGGTAAACCACGGGCCTCGTCCACTCCTGCCTCACCACCGCAGACCCGCTCGGTGCCCAAAAACTGCAGCTGTTGAAATTGATCTGCCTGCCAGTGTGACTTTGCTCCTGCCACTACTCATGAAAATGATTACCGAGGTGCTTAAACTCCTCCACGATTGTCCAAAATCCCTCACCTAGAAAAAGCAATCTGCACTAGTCAACGAGGACCCCATCGGAACTTGGACCACAGATTTTAAGGCGATGATTCTTATCTCCTCCACTTAGCATGGCAAAGAGGTTTGTGTGCTTCAGCGATCAACACAGCTACATCATCCGCGTTTGATATCCTGGTAGGACTAGGGTCACTGGTACCCATCAAAAGAGCCTAGCAACCCACCAAAACAACTGTAAGACCAAATGGCGTATGTGGACCCATTTGGGGGTTCACCACCAACGGGTGAAAGATTAGGGCAATGTATAGTGTCATCGGGGCAGCAAGCATGACTTTATCAGTGTAAAAAATAAAATTATGTAGTGTGTGTGTGTGTATATATATACAGTATATATATATATATATATATATATATATATATATATTGAATATAAACGAAAAGAATTCCTAAATGGGAAAATTGAACTAGGTGGGTCACTGGCAAGTTTATAGCAGTCATAATCATTTGTAAAACGTTTGTTTTATGTTACAATCATATACCATAAAAACGATGACAGAATCTAGGGAAAAGTCCAACAATATTGAAGTGGATGTTTTTTATTTATATAACATATTTAGTTATGTTGGCAGATCGAAAGTGACTCATTTTCAGTCCTGGGTAACCAAATGTAGGACACTTAACCAAATTCTATTTGGTTATCTCTTAGTGACTCTGACCTTGAAATCTGACAAACCAGGGACCATGTTACAGAGGAAGTAAATATTTTAACTTACTTAACCTTCTGTGCTGCAGTGAACTGTAGACAATTCACATTTTTTTGACCACATGGCTCTGACAACATAGTGAATCTCTACTGCTTCTAACCAGGTGGAAAATTAATTGACTTATCTAGTGCCCCCAGGAATCATGTGATCCGAGTCAATGCCAGACACATTTTCTGGAAGAGTTGGCAATTATTTTTAATGAAAGGACAATATTAAAGAGAATATCATGCTTCTAAAATTAATGCTAGTACCTCATAAATATAGTTACGCATGTCAGGGTAATTAGCAACTTCTTGACAACCAATATCATAATACTAATTTTTCATACTGAATTTAATTGGTTGAACAAAGAAGTGCTTTTTTAGTAGTCTATGCAAGCCAGTGGACAGGGAAAGCTATATTTGGGGGAATCACAAGTTGCCATGGTGATTGATAAAAGTAAATTGACCCTAATTAAATTGATTACCGGTAACCTTCTGAGCCCAAATACAGCTAACTAGGGGATTCAGGGAAGACTGTGAAGCTTCAATGGGTTCAATGTACAAAAATGGCCATTTAATCAGAACTGTATGTCAGTGTCTTACAGTGGTTTCTACAGCAATAGTATATAGTGAAGGCTCTCCATTGAAATCCTATATAATATTGTAGTCAGACACAGCACTGATGAAATATTTTCCAAATTAGTATGTTTCAGTTAGCAGGTGACTGCTTAGTGTACAAATATCATGATATACCTCATTGGTGGTGCTGTTTGTGCCCACAGAGATCACTCAAGGGCACAAAAAATGTCTCCTCTGTTTAGCTTCATTACTATTTAAATATACACAAGGTGGAGCATAGAATACAGTGACGTGGCCGGCAGGAGCTGCTAAGTTAAACTTAGAAGTTGCCTTTGGACATGGGGCAGTGTAATTACAATCTTTTAAGGGAGCTGTTTGGTTTTGAGCATGGACAGGAATGTCCCATGACTGTTCCTTTCAAACTAGTAGAAGGCGAGGCAGGGTTTGCTTGAAGCACCAGTTCTTCATGGGAATTTACAAAGAGAACTACAGTGCAGATGTTATTTCATGTCAAGAATGACATTACAAAGTCCCAAAAATCATTCATGTAGTTTTTCCACATAAGGTGTTCTAGTTTATAGCAATGATTAGGTGCTGTGTTATAAAATCTTGCAGTCTGGTGAGTAAAGCAGGTTTCTTTTTTTAGTAACATGAGCAGAAATGAAAACATTGCAGTCCTTCATATTTAACATCCTAAGTACAATACTCATAATTTAATTTTTCTAGTTACACACTAAGAGGCAATACACAATGTGTATGTAAAGTCCATACAACATATACTACACAACATGGAACTCAGGAGTATAAAGATATCCTTAAACAATGGAAACTGCACTTGCTGTATATGTTACAATGATTTTGCAAGAAACAGTAGCACCATCACTCTGGTCCTATGGTAGTAGCATTTGAAGGAGCATCCTTCAGCATTGTGCTTTCTTATGTGTCAAAAAAAAGTCTGAATGTTCATAGTAGAGTCTTAGGGAAAGCACTCATCCCTTTACTTTTGGTGATATTACATGCCCGTACGTAGCAGCAGTGCTCTTTATTAAACACATGAGCAGGCTGGATTAATATGTGCTGACACAATTGAATAATGAAAACTGGACAATCCTGTTGAGGCCTTTGTTATGATTATATCACCCTTGTAATCCGGAGCTATAATTCAGCTATGGTAAACATCTGCATTTTAGCTATTGTTGTTTTATATGCTCCTATCCAAACACATGAGAAAAAGGCAATATCCTGTGTCCTGTCCAGGGTATATCTTGCCTTGTGCCTTACACGTGCCCAAGCTCAGCATGACCCAGTGTGGTATAAGTAAGGATGGATGGATGGATGGAAATATCCTATGGGTTTGACAAAGGCTGATGTTTCTATGGGTGAATTCATAGATTTGCATTAATTTATTTAGCAGATGGTTTTGTCCAATTTACAAAGATATACAAGTGAGGCAGACAGCACAGCACAAGTAGACAGCTGTCAAGGAGCCAACCCAGCAAAAGTGTGGCTAGGCGGAGATCCAATGGGTGCCCAGTAACTAGGGTGAGCAACACTGGAGCAAGGCTATTCAGTTCAATTCAACTTCACAGTCGTTATACAGTGCCAGAGCAAACATCCAATTAAAGGTATGCTTGAGTAAACTCCAAAGGACAGTGCAAGAAAGGGAAGGCAATCGGAAACAATGAAATGTTTCTCGTTTGATTCATCGTACAGTACTTACAAACAGTAAGAACATAATGCATATTTTCAAAAGAAAAAGTGTAACTCCGTACATTCAGGGTGCATGGGAGAATAGTTTAGTGACCATAGAGGAAGACAGTGGTCTAGGGCCTGGTGAAGTTGTTCCCACAACAACCGGGTGTTGAGGTGTTTTTTGAAGGTTGAGAGAGAATCTGAACACTAGATCAAATATAAACATATTTTAAGCATGAGTGCCTGACAGATCGGCATCTTTCCTTCATGTGTGGCTGCCCAGTATGGAATGATTACCTGATCTAGAACAGCCTGATACGCGTTCCGGTTCTTTATGATAGAACGTACAGTCGTCAGTCATGTTACCTGCCAGTTTTTTGCATCTGGCTGCTAGTGTGTTATATTGATACTTCAGTGTTTTTCATTCTTGCCCATGACCCTGATTAGGATAACTGGTCAGAGGACGGATGACTGGGTGGAAGGACGTTCTCATAATCTGTGCTTTTTCATTGTTTTCTCTGAATTATTTTGAAAGCTCCTTTGTCTTTATAATTGAGTATTTGCTTGAAATTCACTACCTCACTGATGAACCTCAGAGAAACAAACGTCTTTATGTTCAGAACAAGGAACACTATTCTGAAACAGCACTAGAATTGCAGAGAGAAATCAGTCAGCTAATCATTTCACTCATTCTGATAACTCTGTGCACCCTATGTAATATTTTACACAGGTTTTTCCATTAAATTTCCAATTAATTTATTTACTAATATTTACTTTCAACTTATGTTGTGCATAATCAAAATTATTTATCACTATTAAGTGACATATCATAACATCCTCTAATTGATTAATGAAAAACTACTGATCCTAGTACACATTCCAGCTGGTTTATTTGCCATAAAATGTCTTTCAGGATAAATCAAATACCACGTTTAGCGATAAGTAATACTGTGCAAAAACCCAGTTGAGAAAACTTAAGCATCTACTCAACATTGGTCATTGAAAATCAAGTGTGAAAAGATGGAATGTCTGTATTAATTCGTACCAGTTTTGCACGATAAACACAAAAAGTATGAAAAAGCAAGTCGTCGTGTTATCACAGATGAGTTTTTAGTGAGACAAATCACTAGAACTATTCTGGCATTTGAACAGAAAAATATAGGAATTGACAAACAAACAGTAAAGTTTAAAACAATAATGTGAATACGCAGAGAGGAAAACTTTTCATAACCTACGTTATAGCCAAATAATTATGTTTTAGGGAATGGTAAAATACAATGACACGGAGGCACATTTAAAAAAAAATCTTTCGAGTTAAGCCTTTTTGGAGGTTACATTATCCAGACTTTGCGCTGGATGGATCCCGTTTATTCCTCCGCCTCCCAATGCAGTTCCCCATGAGTAAGAGACGAATAGCGGTTGCGCGGAGTGATTCGGAGGGGGCTACACCCAGTCAGCGACCGTTCGCATAGGCTGCTTCTCTCTGCCTGCCGAAAAAAGCACATTAAAGCGGGGACGCCACGGAGCTCGGAGTCAGGGTTATCGCCGGAGAAACCGCAGCTCCAGGGAAGCGCGAAGCAACCACGCTGCCGCAGTATTAACGACGGAAGCTCGTTTCCCGTTGTTCTTTTTTTAAAAATACATTTTAGTAAAAGACGCAGTTATGTCCTGGCAAGGCTACGTGGATAACCTGATGGCCGATGGCTGCTGCCAGGACTCCGCCATTGTTGGGTACACGGAATCCAAATATGTCTGGGCAGCACATCCCGGTGGCACTTTTAGCAATATAACGGTAAGGAGAGCGGACACGATGAGACACAATAATGAGGCTAAAGGTAATGGTGAGATCTGTCCGTTCATCATCGGGGATGTTTGAGAAGGAGGCCTCGCCGATCGGGGGCTGCCTGAAGTAGGAGTATTTTCGGCAAACCGACACACATGATTTCCCAGGCAGTGGATATAACTGCTTACGGCCTTTAAGTGTGCTGCTTGTGCGGGCTTATTTAAGGCGGTTCTTATATGTAGACAACGGTCCCGAGAACATGAAGCTGGCAAGGCGTGGAAAAGGCCTCTGCCGTTACAGCCGGGCTGCTGCTTAAATCATTTTGTAGCCACTGACTTCTCCCAATTCCGATGGGATGGACGGGCCGCCTCATTGTAAATTAATTAGTTAATTTTAAGTCCGTGTCTTTCTCGCCAGTCTGAAATGACCGAGGATAGCGGTGACGTGATTGTAGCATGATATTAAAAAGTTGTCGGCTGCGGTGCCGCGGCGCGTGCTGGCGACGGGAAGAGGAGGCGCGGAGGGGAGGCTGAACACGGGATAAAATCCAGCCAGCCGTTTGGAGTTTAAAATAGTTGGTTGTGTCTGGTTCCCGGGTTTGTCCCCACCCCGGTTAGAAAAGCAGCATAGTTGCCGGCCTTGGATAGTGGTATCTGCCGTACAGGATAATGCTGGATTCGCAGATGCCCCCCCTCCCGTTTTCCAAGATGGCGTTTTCCCTCCGTGCCTTTTCCTGCCTGGACTCTGCAGTGCCGTCAGCCAGCTTCCTTTCAGCTTTCCCCCTTTTTTGCTATATGCTGCACGTTTCCTTTTACCGGTGCCAGTGCTTCTTAATGTTAAAACTTAAGTGTCAGAACGTGATCAGATTATGCCCGTTATTTCTGACGGGCGGGATGGCACTAATGCAGTAGAAGTTAGCAGATTGCGGAGTTTATGGGGTCTGCAGTTTTGCCTATGAGCAAACTTTTAAAGCAGTTCTGATTGAATGAGATTTTATCTAGCGGTGAAAATTCGTCCCGGCCTACATATTTATAGTTTTTTTTTATTGTTATTAATCATAACTTTCAATGTTCCCTGTTTTCGATTTAGAATTCTGTAATGTTATACGGGGAATTAATTAAATATACGGATCTTTAATACATTGTGACATTGTGTTGATTTATATTATTAATACATCAGTCCCCGTTCACCCGTGACCCTTCCAGTCGAACAGCAGCCGCTGAAGGGAAAATGCACGCATGGCCGTGAAAGGTTACTGTAGTCTGTTTCATTGTCTTATCGTACCGTTGTTTTTATCTACATAGTTTTGTAGTGCACGGCTTGGAAGGATTCTTACAGGTTCATATTGATTCATTACCAAACCTACCATCGCTGCTCAAGAAAATCAGCACTTATTACCCGGGGCTGAATTTTAACATAGAACTTAGGAACGACGTAGCATTGTTAAACGCACCCACATCATTTGGCTGATTGATAAGGGGGAAAACCCTTTGTTAGGTTTATGTTCTTGGCTAACTAGTATTTTATGATTTCCTGGATGTCGGTACTGTTTGGTATTTATTTGTCCCTCTAACTCTGACGCCTATATATGAAAATACTAAATACTTGGCATGGTTCATTTTTCCTCCACAGCTGCATCTCAGATCTTTGTCAGGAAACGTTGATAGTAACTTTATTGGCACAGTTGTAAAATAGAGTAAATATGTGTATGATCCTAGGGTAGGATAAGCTTTTATCGCACAGTCGAAATTTACTTTTGGTTTAGTGGGAGACCTACAACACCCAGCATTCTTTCAACTGCATTTGTTAGTCATTGCTGTTTTACCTCTTAAATACAAGTTTGCTGCATCAATCATGTATCTGCTAGGTATGTGTTTGGGTAAACTTTCCAAAGGGCTATCTTCAGACAGCAGGTGGTGTGTGTGTGTGTGTGTGTGTGTGTGTGTGTG